CCTACAACGCAACCATCTTCCAGGCGACATGCCGCCGTCGCCAAACAGAAGTCACAAGCTTCTACAAGCCCTACATGGGACGTCTTCCGCGTCATCAGGACGACAACAAAAGACCAAGCCTCCTGACTGAATAATCATGAAAACTGTAAGTTTTAAAAACCTACCAAACTTTGCTCTCAAACTTACAACTTGATTCTCCATATATTTAATGTTTATTTTCACTGTAATCATTTTAAATCAATTTTTTCCATTTTTATATCATTTCAATCCAAATTTTAAATCTTTTACACCCTCATTTATGAATTTTTACTTTATTTTAAGCAACTTATAAATTTTAATTCAATACTCTCAATTTTACATTTTAGAAAAATCATTATTTTTTTTATCAAACAAAGGTTTTATCTAAATTTCTATTTTATAATGAATATCATAACTTTTAAATTAGACATAAGTTTAATTTATTTTTTTGAAATAATTTTCAGATATATCCAAACAAAACATCTTGTTATAGCCCTTTTTAACCCTCACAGTTTATATTAATTAAAATAAATTTTAATTACTTACCTGTGTTAGAGAGGCTTTACCCGTTTAAACCCAAATAAACCCTTTCAACCCAGGGCCCATCTATGGTAATTTAAACCAACAACCCCATATTGTATAATACTTATAACAAGATTGTCATGTTGTATATAGAAACACATCTATAAATAAATATACGCATGATTGACATGTGTCATTGCATCACCATATGTAATGTACTTTGTACAAACTGAGGATGAATAAATAAAACTATGTAATAGATTAAGAGCTGAGCTAAGAAAGAGATCGAGATAAAAATTCAACAATTCTAAAGAGGAATTTGGCAAGTCGTTGCCATCAAGGTCAAAGGGTGCAGAATTAGCGCAGACGCCCCACGCACTTTGGACCCGTTCAAAGTCCAAATTCTCGCATGTCTCCCTCCTCGGCAAAGGTATATAAAACCTCGGTTTTAGCCGAAATTACTGTCACTTCACCACCAGCGTGGGCCCTTGTCGGTTGTACCTAGGTCCACCTCATCGACCATCTAGAACAGTAGGACTCTTCTAACTCCATCTTGCTCTTAGCTCGATTCCTATCTGTTTACGGAACTTTCCTACTACAACTGTGTCTCTTCGTTTTTTGTGTGTGGACATTCCCAAGCTTTCCACTCTGCCTCAACCACGAATGCCTTTACTCTGTGAAAACTGTTAAAGGTCTTCCAAAGTGCAGAGAGGTACTGGAAAACTCTCCACGCCCTGACTGTCCCTCTCGGTTACTAAAGGTTTAACCCTCGGTTACCACACCTATAGCGAGAATCGACAGGATCCCTTATCACAGATAAGTCGACAGGATACCTCATCACAGATAAATATATATATTTCGTATATTTTAAGACTGTATAATAATGACACTTTTAGTATATGTCACATATCTCCAAATTAGTTAGAGCCGATACCTTCAAATATCCTACCTTCTATTAATATGTACACTGTTTCTATTTGCTACCACCCTCATATTTTGTATATAAACTATTTTTATTTTAACCCCCTATTTGTATTTAAAACTAAAAATGGTGACGTTAAAAATAAAGATCCAAAGAGTGTTCGGTCAGCTGGTGGCAGGGACAGAGGGGAGGAAAAAAGCCAACGCCCAGCCCATGTGGGGTCCCGAAGGACATCTTTATAGACAACACCTGTAAACAGTATAGGTTTTGGCAGGGGGTCAGCAGTATGTGCTAGAGTGTGTCGATCGACAGGCGGCTGCTGTCTCTCACACAGTCTTTCACTCCATGTCTCGGGGATAAGCATCCAAGTTTGTGTCATGGCCTCTACCTCTGTCCCGTGGTCTGTCCCCGATCACTCTATGTGCTAACATCTAGTCCTGCCTCTGCTTCTTATTGTCCGCGTGTGGGAAGAACATCAACACTCGCCTTACGTACAAGACTGCTAGTTCATCCATTCGTCGGCACATTTTCAACAATATTACATATATTATATATGTATTTATATGTTATACATTTTACATATTATACATATGTATGTGTTATATTAAAATATTAATTTTTTAAAATTATATTTCATAGATTCAAATACTCTGTTAAATCGACCGCCAGAGGTCACGCTTCCCCTATAAAAATGCATTGTTGTTGTTTACCGATGGCCGGTTTAAACCTTTGTAATTATGTAAATAATATTTTGTTTTTCCTTGATTTACTCGCCTTAAGACAGACAGTACTTTTATAAAAATATGTTTTTTTTAAATATATTCCTATAGTTAAATAAAAGCAATTACTGATCAAAACTATTTTTATTATTATACTTTCAATAATTTTTCCACGACTGCATTACCATGGCATAATTCTCTAGATAACCAAAATCAATCAGAAAATATATTTTTTAAAAAATAATATATTATTCTGAAAAAATAGAGCAATCCATATTGTTATATTTGTTCATAAAGGGCACATCTTGGATTCAATAAATAATCTTTTATTTCCGATATTTCAATGGGCTAAACGGCCATCATTTTCAAGGATCTCATCCCCTCTCGCGGCAAGCCGCGCATTACACTTGAGACACGGGCGTCTCACAATAATTGCAGACACAGCACAACTACAAGTAATAATCTGGAAACGCTATATTGATGATATACTATGCATCACAAAAGTTGATCTTTCCACCATTCTGAATTTTTTGAATAACCTCAAACCCTTTCTAAAATTCACCTTTGAAATAGAAGAAAATAACTCCCTACCGTTTCTAGACATACAATTAACTAGAAACCAAGATAGAATTGAAACTCGAATATACCGAAAACCTACCCATACTGGAAGCTATCTGAACTTCAATTCATTTGGTCCCATCCACCATAAAATTTCCGTGGTAAAAACTCTTTCAAAAAGACTAACCACACACTTTTCAACAAACGATAACGACACAAAAAAAGAAAGAACCAAGATATTTCAAGAACTACTTAGCAACAATTACCCTAAACCGTTTATCAAAAAGCATTTCTACAGACCGAGAATATCACCCCCACAAACAATAGACAAACTTCATCCCAAAACATTTTTTGCTCCCTACCATACAGCTATGGCTGTGAAAGATTAGCCAGAAAACTAAAATACTACAATATCACAACAAGATTCCAATCTACCTCGAATCTTAACAACATCCTCCGCCATCCTGATACAAAAAAAGGTCACTGAACCAAACAATAGAACCAATGTCATATACAAAATACCATGCAAGTCTTGCCAAGCCGTCTACATAGGAGAAACCGGTAAACAATTAATAGAAAGAATCAACCAGCACAAATCAGCCCTAAAACACCATAACACGACCTCCTTATTAGTAGATCATGCTCTCATCAATGGCCACATTCCAGACTTTGAACAAACATCAATAATACACCAAGATATAAAAGAAAGAAAAGTTGGAGAGTTGGAGTTCTTTGGAAGACAGAAATAGCATAAACCGAAAGATCGATATACCGGAAATGTACACACAATTTAGATGCTCCTAGAATAGGAACCTCTATGTATATATGAACTTCAGTGAAATGTCTTCATTCATAATGCAATAGCCGAATATTTATTTTGTATATATAGATATTTACTTTTAACTCTATTTATTCATTTATTTTAATTAGTATTGTACGATATTTATTTGTATACATTACATTTTCATTTGGATGATTTTCGCCTGAAGAGATTGTGAGACGCCCGTGTCTCAAGTGTAATGCGCGGCTTGCCGAGAGAGGGGATGAGATCCTCGAAAAAGATGGCCGTTTAGACCATTGAAATATCGGAAATAAAAGATTATTTATTGAATCCAAGATGTGCCCTTTATGAACAAATATAATATATATATAAATATATTTTTTATATATAAAGGTATAATGGTTCTTAAACCATGGATGATTTGAAGTGTGCTCAATTCTTGACGGTAAGTTGGCGTAGAGTCTTGAAAGAGATGGAATATTCACTAGCGTGAAGTCAGAACTGGACTGTGAGTCCTACTCATCTTCTGATGTCCGCTGCTGATCTGTCAATTCTCTGCTGCCAAACTACGACTGCTCCTATCTGCTGCCAAAACTTGACTGATAACCGTGCTGTCCCTGTAACATCTGCTGAACCCGAGGGTAACCTGATCCGGGAAACGAATCAGATGGTGAAACGTCGTAGCAAAAAAGCTGACACTTTTGAATAGGGAAGAAGAATAATTTTAGCGTTCACCCTTTATGATTGTCACCCAGACTATTAAAAACTTTTGTTTATTCATTTGTTACAGATTGTGAGGGTTCGATTTTTTACAATACATTTAAGGTATATATATATATAAAGGTATTTATATATATTATAAAACAACACTTAAAGTTTCACCGCATAAGTTTCTTTTCTGTGAAAAATCAATATTTATTTCAAAGAGAAATATTTACTATTTCTAACTTTTTTGGAAGAAGTATGAAAGGGTGAAAATATGAAGAGTAATGGCGAACGGAAAAATAAAAGTGTCCAGGGGCGGAAATCGAACGCACAACCTTCCGCTTACCGGGCAGATGCCATGTCCACTAGGCTACCCTGGACGTATTTTTCCGTTCGTAAATAATACTTAAAGTAACTTATAATACATTATAAAGGACTGCGGCGTATGATTATAAAACAACACTTAAAGTTTCACCGCATAAGTTTCTTTTCTGTGAAAAGGCATCTGCCCGGTAAGCGGAAGGTTGTGGGTTCGATTCCCGCCCCTGGACACTTTTATTTTTCCGTTCGCCATTACTCTTCATATTTTCACCCTTTCATACTTCATCCAAAAAAGTTAGAAATAGTAAATATTTATCTTTGAAATAAATATTGATTTTTCACAGAAAAGAAACTTATGCGGTGAAACTTTAAGTGTTGTTTTATAATCATACGCCGCAGTCCTTTATAATGTATTATAAGTTACTTTAAGTATTATTTACGAACGGAAAAATACGTCCAGGGTAGCCTAGTGGACATAGCATCTGCCCGGTAAGCGGAAGGTTGTGGGTTCGATTCCCGCCGCCCCTGGACACTTTTATTTTTCCGTTGGCCATTACTCTTCATATTTTCACCCTTTCATACTTCATCCAAAAAAGTTAGAAATAGTAAATATTTCTCTTTGAAATAAATATTGATTTTTCACAGAAAAGAAACTTATGCGGTGAAACTTTAAGTGTTGTTTTATAATCATACGCCGCAGTCCTTTATAATTTATATCGTAATATGCTATGCTGGGAAACCTTACTCTTGGGGTTGGTGATTGTTGAGGTGGTGGCGCAGTCGAGGTGGCTGAATGGTAAGGTTTACACAGAAGGGAAATAAGCCAGGACACTTGATGGGTTGAAAATAAAAGGCAACTGGTTGGAGGAAAGAAAGGCTTGGGAGAAGGCGAAGCGGTTTTTGACAATTGGCCTATCGAATCACATGGCGGTGATTGACTTTAGGTGCTATCTCGGTGGGAGCGAAATGAACTAGGTCCGAACTCGGTGGGAGCGAAACAACTACTTTAGGTGTTATCCCGATGGGAGCGAGTCGAAGACTTTTTTAGGTGCTGTCTCGGTGGGAGCGAGTGAACAACTGACTATCCTAGGTTCTCGATTTAACACCAAGACCTATCTTCTTTCCCATTGGTCGAAAGGTGGGACGTGGCCGTTTTCTATTGGCTGACCTTTGGGAAGCGGCTTCCTCATTGGTCCTTGCTACTTTCTTTGTCTTTTGGACTTGTCCTGACACGACCAGGAAATATTGTGTCGTTGAACTCAAGTTTTATTATTTCCGCGATCATAAAATTGGCTGTAATTTTGCTAATGGTTGTGCTGACTCTTAAGCCTCTTTTCTAGGCCTTGTTTCTCTAAGTCGTTCTATCCTCCAGTTACCTTATTCTTTATTAAGTCTTTGAAACATACATTGCATACATATTGGGTCGGGGTTGCATACAGCTATTTACAAATTATGACAGATGCGCCCCCTACATGTGAAGAATTTATGAAGGGGTTTTAGTCTGAATAAGATCTTTGCATCAAAGAAAATAATTTTGGGCGAAAATTAATTGATTATAGGGAGGTTATATACAAAATTGATAAGGATATAAGAGAATTAAAAAAAAATGTAGTGTTAATGAAATATAGTTGGTTGTTAGTTAATAGAAATCAAAATTTTATAAAGGTGCATCATAATATGTTGAGCACTATGGTACACAAAAAAAAGGAAAAATTGCCTAATTACTTTTTGCTCATGTTTGGGAAGGGAAAACGAGGAAATTTCATAAGGTATTTTGAAATCAAAAAAATAAAAATAAAAAAAAAATAGTTGAATGAAATCAAAGTTGAAGTTTTGGTTGAAAAAGAGAAAAAAAATGTTTTGTTGCATTGGTAAAAGAAAAATGTCTAACTACTTTTTGCTCGAGTTCGGGAAAGAAAACGAGGAAATTTCATGAGGTATTTTGAAATCAAAATAAAAATAAAAGAGATGTTGAGCGAAATCAAAGTTGAATGCTTGGTTGAGAAAGAGAAAAAAAAATTGCTTTGGTAAAAGAAAAATGCCTAATTACTTTTTGCTCGAATTTTGGGAAGGAAATCGAGGAAATTTCATAAGGTGTTTTGAAATCAAAATAAAATAAAAGAGATGTTGAGCGAAATCAAAGTTGAATGCTTGGTTGAAAAAGAGAAAAAAAAATGCTTTGTTGCGTAAAAAAAAGAAAAAAAAATGTTTTGTTGCATGGGTGACAAAGGGAAAATGCCTAATTAATTTTTGCTCGAGTTCGGGAAAGAAAACGAGGAAATTTCATGAGGTATCAAAAATAAAAATAAAAGAAATGTTGAGCGAAATCAAAGTTGAATGCTTGGTTGAGAAATAAAAAAAATTTGAAAAAGGTTTTTCAAAAATAAAGGATGACTTAATGTCTTAAGTTTAACCGAAAACCAATGAGTTTTCGTTGATAAATGAAGCTACAATAATATAATTAAGTGGTACATAATATAGTAATTAATGGTTAAAAGTGATAATAAATTGAATAAGTTGCTAAATTGGTTAAATATTTTAATTTTAATTTGAGAAAAAATAGTGAAAATGGTTAATATATAAACAATAAGGTGTATTGGTTTGAACCCGTTGTGTATCTACATGCCCTGATCTAGATGTCTTAATTGCTTAATTATGCCCTATAGGATTTATTTTGTCTTTGTGTGTATTGTGAAAAATGTTAGAAGTTTTTTGTGTAAGAAATGTGTGAGCGAATTCTATGTGTTGTCGAGATCCTAAGGTCTGTGATATCTACGTGTAGGTGGAATATGTAATGTTTTTTTGGGAATCTGTAAAGTAATTATGATTTATTATAATAGGGATCTGAACTCATTTAGATGTGTGTGCGTGTACCTTGTTTAATTTTCGAGTGACAGTCGATTGGACTACATTTTGTAAAAGTCGATATGTAGGCTCGAACTGGAAGGGGGAATGAAATTGGGTGACATGTAGAAGTTCTCAGCTTGACCTCGATTTAGCTGCTGGTCGAGGGAGATGGTAATTAGAAACCGGACATGGGGACTCGCACCCCCTGTTTGCATACGCTGATTTTATCGCCGCGCGGGGCTATTTACTTCCTGTCTGCTAATTTCTTTTGTTCAACTAGGATTTTTTCTTTCTTCCGGCCCTGATTTGTTACTTTTCAGTTACTTCTATCTCCTCGGAATTTATTTAGATTTTCGGCAAAAATGTTTCCAAAAATTGTAAGAAGTTTTACAAATGCTTGTCCTAAATGAAACACTGCTTCTTGCAGCTCGAAAACGCTATGGGAGGGCATGGTATAGATTACCAGATATATTAGCAGGAATAAAACTGGGGTACATTTATAGGGTAGGACTAGCAGACAAAGGATAAAAATCAGATGAAAGATAGGGTATTGATACATGTTCTTCCATGTTGTTATAAATGGTGATTCTGAAATATTTGCTTGAACCTTATTAATTGTAGAATTTAAATGATTGTCAGGTTCGCAGTTCTCCTGTTTGATCGTCAATGGTTTTATTAGAGACATGTCGGCGGTAATTGGTTTAAGTGGAGATGTGTAATCGTTTCTCTGACGTAGGTGATGTAATTTCGGCATTGTTTGTATTGTGTGTACGCTGTGTTTTGTGTACGAATTTTGTTTAGTTTTGTGGGTTGTGTCGGTATTTTTACGTGGAGGTTGGTTGGATTCATCGATTCTTCTATAGAATCGGCAGGTGGGACAGGTTTTTACCTGTTTTTGTATTGTCGTGTGTTATGTTCTGCCAATAACATTGTGAAGAGATGAGTTGGTGTAGTTTCGGCATTATTTGTATTTTGAAAATCCGGATGTTGTATCCATTTATTAAATCGAATGGTCGTTGTGACTTTAGTAAAAATGCTATTCAGTGATATTAGAGTGGAATTAAGTGAAAGTGAGGCTTTCAATGTGGACACGTTTTGAGTTGAGAAGTGTCACAGGCGTGGTGAAGGCGTCTTTGGCCTGAAGTGAAAAATTTTGTGGTGTGACCTGTGACACGAATCGAAGAAAAAAAAAATGTGAATGAAAAGGTGTCACGCGAAGTCTTTGTTTGTACAAAATCTAACCTGTTCTCACTATGAACAACAAATTTATTAAAGTCATGGGTGCTGGTTGTACGAACATATATTGAGATTTTTATTGTTAGTGTATATGGCACTTTTTAATGTGAAAAATTTTAGTGTTTTGGGTAGACGAGCTGATTGTCTTATTATTAACGGTTGGGCATGCGCTTACTGGTTGTTGTCGTCTTTTGGCGCGAGTGTCGCGCTTGTTGGGCGGGTTGTGCGTGTTTGTTGCGTGATGACGTATGGGTGCGTGTTGGTTAGCGTGAGGCATGTTGTTAGCGTGAAAAACCGTCCTGTTGGATGGATGTCGTCTGTGTTTTGCTGTTGTGATTGTCGTTTGTTATGAGGTACATTTGTGTGATTGTTGTGTGACGACGTATGGTCACGTATGGATTTCACGTGGTAATTGTGTGCTGTGCTGTTGTATGGACACGTTTTTTGGGCGTGGTGATTGTTGAAGCCGTTGTGGCTTGTGAGTTGAGGGCATATAGTACTGGTAATTGGGTTGAGTAAAAAGTTGCGTGGTGTGAGATTAGAATGGTGGCATATAAAGAGTTGTAGTTGGGTCAATGAATGCAGGCAAGGGTTGTCCTGTGTGACAAATTTGGTTGCAGTGCAAGTCCTTTCGGACAGGTTTGGCCTAGCCCGTGCGTGCATTCATTGGGTACAAGGTTGGATACATGATTAAAGGGGTAGGTAGGGTTAGATATAAGTCCAAAGCCAATTTCTTGACGCCATAGGGTGGGTGCCTACCTCAGTCTCGAAAGGTCTGCTCGGCTGGGGCGTCTTGGGCTTGGGACGGCTGCTTGGGGCTCGGGACTGCTTGCACGGTCCGCGGAATTGAAGTGAAGTCCGGTACTGGGATATCGTTTTGGGACTGTTTGCACTGTCCCGGGTCGCGTGGATTACTTTCGGGTGCGGTGTACGGATACGGCATGGCGGTGGATGACTCCTCGGTGGTCGGTGTCCGGCCACGTTGACACTTGCCTGGGGTGGTGGGACGGGCGTCGGCTGTCCCGTCCGTCTTGCCGGTCGGTCGGCGGGGGGTGTGGGCTGTCCCGGGGGTGGCGCTACGGAACGCTATCTCCAGTTGGGTGGACCTCGCTCCTTGAAGTGCGGCGGTCAACTGCAAAAGTATCGTCGCCAGGGTGTGTCTTGCCGCTTCGTTCGTCGCCAGCTTCTTCTCCCTCGGTTTATCATTGCCGTTTGTTTTGCTTGTGTCTTGGTTACTTTCCACCATGATCCTGTCGACTTTCAATAGCTATCGTAATATGCTATGCTGGGAAACCTTACTCTTGGGGTTGGTGATTGTTGAGGTGGTGGCGCAGTCGTGGTGTCTGAATGGTAAGGTTTACACACCAGGGGAAATAAGCCAGGACACTTGATGGGTTTAAAATAAAAGGCAACTGGTTGGAGAAAAGAAAGGCTTGAGAGAAGGCGGAG